GAGTCGGAATTTGAAAGCAGAGATGAGGAAAATCAAGCTATGGAGCAGGCTCTCGATAACATCATCTGATCACTGTCCTCCATCCGAATACCATAATGATGTCAAACTATGTGGAACTCAATGTGAGGCTACAATAACAGCTTGTTGGACTGTTGCTGAACCGCGATGTTATCCAACCTGAAGACTACTTTACCATCCTTTGAGTAGACTACTGTCCTGATTGCAATAATGCTTGAGTTGATGTACAGCATGAATCTGGTATTCGTGACTACTGTGACCTGTATTTCTTTGAGTCTCAATATATTCTTAGGATTTTCTCTTGTCCCTGGTGTGACACATTTGATGAAGAGCTGATAGTGAAAACTGAAGCCTTTAGTTTCTCAGACTCTGCTTTTGATAATTATTAGGTTTTGTTTGTTTAAACAGTTGTTTTATTTTGGGAAATGTAACCAGTACGGGTACTCGGTTATATGTTTTGTTTTAAGTATCACTTTGATACTTTGTTTGTTTTTAGTATTGCTTTAATACTTGGTTTGTTTTAAGCATTGTTTGATACTTGGTTTGTTTTAAGTATCGTTTGATACTTGGTTTTGTTATATATTTTGTTTTAAGTATCACTTCGATACTTGGTTTGTTTTAAGTATCGTTTGATACTTGGTTTTGTTTTAAGCATTGTTTGATACTTGGTTTATTTTAAGTATCGTTTGATACTTGGTTTTGTTATATATTTTGTTTTAAGTATCGCTTTGATACTTGGTTTGTTTTAAGCATTGTTTGACACTTGGTTTGTTTTAAGTATCATTTGATATTTGATTTTGTTTTATTTTCTGTTTTAAGTATCGGTTTGATACTTAATTAGTTTTATCAAAGTATATTGATTGATACCTTTGATTAGTTTCGTTCATGCTGGACATGAACAAATTTGTGTATTTAAAGACCGCCTGATTCCATGATGGAAAACGCAGACTTCAACAGACAGTATTTCAATATACTTGGTTGAACGGTTACTTCTTTGTTCATCAGTACACCTTCGAAATCTCCTTTAGTTCTCAGCT